TCTACCTCCTGCTTTCAAAAACATGCAGGAACAATTTGTGCAATACAACAATAGTGACAATACAATTGACACTCACTTATACTTCATGGCATTATATCAGATCCCATGGATAATGAAATGGGACTATACTATCTCAGTCAATAATACAAATGACTATACCTATATTCCTCAATTGGGGAAAACCATCTCTGTAAAATGGTGGGACATTTTCAAAATGGATCTCACCACTACCACACCAAAAAGAATACCCCAACAGACACCTAAATACCAGCCAAGCCCAAATACAGACAATACCTCTTTTGACTTTCCAACCTACTTACGAAATATGTTGCAAACCAATCCAATGCATCCAAGAAAGAACTAGAAAAACAAATGAAAGAAATCTTTGCTGAGGCTGGAAGAAAACCAGTATCTTCCGAAGAAACTGTACAGTCTTCCCCACTTCACACCAATAGATATCTTCAATTGAGTGAAGCTGATCCAGAAGAAGAGACAGATCCAGAAGAAGACGATCCAGACGAATTCAGTCAACGACCGTGAATAGGAAAAAGTCTCTACCAACATCACCACCAACAGCAATACCAATAATCCAAAAGAGGAACAGTCTCCACCGATAAAGATCCATAAGAGACAAAACCCCGCCGACAGAAAACGATAAAAAGACTGTTTCAAGATTCGAAGCACTGCACCCACTATCATATAAGACAAGAAGACACTGTTCCCCATGGCCACGTCTCCGACAAGAAGCACTGTACCAAGATGCGCTTACTGTAGCCACTTGGGAAACAAACAAATAGAGCACTGTACATAATGCTTTTTCTGTTTTGTCTTTTCTCTTTTTTCTTTTGTCTCTTCCCTTTTTGCTGAACCTCTTTTTACTTCACGACAAAGGAATCCCTTCTTTCTTTTGATTCCCTTCCTTTTGATGTGTCACTTTGCTTCGTCCCGAAGCAACCTCCCTCGCCTATATAAAGGAAGGACCTCTCCTCATTTCAACAAGGTCGACCTCAGCAACCTCAACCATCCTCTTCTAATCCCTTCCTCTCTCTCTGAGTTCTCTCTCTCTGAATTCTCTCTCTTCTATTTCTCTGAGTCCATTCTTGCTCAGTTCATTACTACTCTTCTGAGTTCGGAGTATTGCATCAAACATCAGAGCTATCCTGACCTTCAAGCTAATCATATTCTAAACATATGATCAGGTTTTATCCTTCACCTTTCTTTCTATATCCATTATGTGTGACTGCAACTTAAAATCTCTCCCTTCATACTGTCCACAACACTGGAAACTATTTTCCAGTTATTGTATTTGTACACAGTAAGTTTCAAATTTCTATCTTGTCTTTTTCTTTTCTTCAAGAGTTTGTAATAGTTGTATTATTCCAGTTGCTCTGTTACTTTGTTGTAAAAATTATACAGTTGCTATAAAAGTTGTGCTATCTGTTTATATCATGATAAAATGCAGTTTAAAATTTTATTCAGTATAAAGATTGGCGAATTATCTTATGCTCAATGGTTCGTGATTGATATCTCTATTATCCCTTTATTCTGCATATTCCTTTTTATCCTTAATTATTACAAAATCCTACAAGAACTTGTTAAATAGAATAGTCTCTTATATATATATATATATATATATCCTGTCAGTCCAAGGGCGTACTGCTACAGTAAACGTCAACGGCCCATCTTCAATCTAAATCGATCTGACGATCCCGAATATCCAGTAGTATTTGAATTTTAATTTTTTTTCTACACATCGGATTGATCTGAAATTTTGAGCGTGTGTACATAAAAAATAGGTGAATTTTCGAAAAATATATATAAAAAATATTTTACATGAAAAAATTGATCAAAATATCCCTGTAAAAGTTTCAGGGGTATTTTGGTCAATTATTTTTTACATATTATTAGTTGCGCCTTGATGAAAAGAATATACACCTAAAATTTCAAGTTATTGGATTTATAAAAAAAAATTAAAATTCAACATGAAAAGAGGTCGTGACCATCAGATCGGTCTAGATTCAATCTGGGCCATTGGCTTTTACTGTAGCGGTCAGCTAGTGGGTGTACAGAATCCACTTTCATATATTTATATATATATGGAAGATACTACAAAACGCCTATAGGTGAAAATAAACAGTGATTTCGTCTACCCTCATCACCATTCAAATTTCATCGCACGGTTACAGTTGTCAGATAGTTTTTCAATTTTCATTTTTATTTTACTAATAGAAATGATTTGAAATTTGGAGCGTGTGTACATCCTAGTGAGCTGCACCTAATAAAAATATTTTAAAAATAATTTGTAAAATACAAATTGAGCAAAATACACCTAAAAGTTTGTGGGGATATTTTGGTCAATTTATATTTTGTGAAATTCATTTTTCATATTTTTATTAGGTGCGCCACACTAAGATTTATACATGCTTCAAATTTCAAATAATTTGGATTTGTCAAAAAAAAAAAAAATTGAAACACTACCAAACAACTGTGACCATGCAATGAAGTTTGGATGGTGATGAGGATAGGCGAAATCACTATTCATTTTCGCCTATAGGTGTTAGGAAGAGTTTTCT